GATCACTAGTTCCTAGTTGCAGCAAGCCACAGTGGCTACAGCAGTAGGACTGCCAGCAGTAACCAGGTCTCAAGCAAGACAACTCATTTGCTTCAATAAAACCCACGCCTACAACAGAAGCAAAAGGACTGATCAGTAGAATAACGGATCTTCTTGGCAGTATTACGCTGATTCAGTGTGCCCAAATAGGAAAAGAGATAAAACTATCCCTTCTCTAATAGCATTCCTAGCCCCTATCGAAAGCAAAGAAGATTGCCACTTAGTAGTACCCCCACTAGCAGAAACACCTTCCCCAGTACCATCATACCTCACTCCCACTGCGGCATCATCCAGCAGAAGTACAGTAGCTCCTACACCATGCACATCGCCACTTCAGTTAACCACTAAACTGTTGCCTAGTGAATCTACAGACACTAGTCCCACAGTCAGGCCAAGTATCTTCTCAGGAGCATTTGACTCACCTGAACCAGTCAACCCACCAGTCCCAGTCGAGGAACAACACCCAGTACCTGTTCCACCAGAACCCAAACCAGAACCACCTAGATCTCTAGTCGATCCCAATCCAGAAGAAAGTCCTATTGACAGACACCCAAACAACCCAGAAGACAGTACTCCGGAACCCAGCGACCAAGAAGACAAAGGAGACATGTCGGACAACAACAGCAGAGTGGTAAACAAGCCTAACCAGTTTGAGGGAGATAAAGGAAAGAGCAAGGAATTCCTGGACGAATTATACCTGTATTTTGCTGGGAATTCCAAGAAGATCCAAACCAATAAAGATAAGGTTCAATGTGCTCTTTCTTATATCAAAGGACCTGCCCAATTCTTCGTTCACACAATCATCACTGATGCCAAAGAACCTGTATCCAATTCTGAAGATGCACCTCTCAAAGGATTACCCAGATGGGTGAACTTCAGGAAGTCCTTTATTCAGACCTTCAGAGTTGAAGCCAACACTCAAGCAGCACTGAATGAGATCAGCAAATGCACCTGGGATAAGTGGATAAGTGTGGAGGAAATGGTCTTCAATTTGTTACTACTCTTCAACCTCTCTTACAGGCCAGTGGGTTAAACAAATTAGGGCAAATTTGAGAACTCCAATGTCTCATCCCTCCCGCCCTCCTACTCAAGATTGCCACCCAGCCGCTGTTACCAACCACTGTGATAGGATACCTGAACAGTGTCCAATCTATCTGTCAATCTATGATCAACATCTTTGGTGATAAACCCCTATTCATGACATCTACTAATCGATCTGTTGGTCGCAACAAATTCGTACATTACAACCAAGCAATCGAAACCAGAGAAGGATCATCTAAGGATCAACGGATCAGACGACTGTCAGATAAGGATCACAAGGAGCACATGGACAAGAAACTATGCTTCAGATGTTACAAACCCAGGCATCAGAGTCGCCAATGCCCAAACAATCACATCAGGGCCATCAAAACCCACAACACATCCACTCAGGAGAAGGATGAAACCAAGGATTCCTCCGATGAGGAAGGGATAGCCAAAGAATATATTCAAGCCATATCCTCCGAGAAGGATTTTTGAAGTCTTCGATCGCCGTGATGTTGAATCAAAGTACTGGCACTAAGGACTATTTATATCAGGCAAGATTAGCTCATAAATCTATTTATTTGCCTTGTATATTAAAAACCTATGCTAAAACTGTCACCACTGAGGCATTACTCGACACAGGAGCAATGGAGAATTATATCAACATCCAGTTTGCTCGAGATTATAACCTCCAGCACCAGAGCATCACACCCAGACCAGTTTTTAATGTTGATGGATCACCAAACAAAGCTGCATCCATTAAACACAAAGTCTTCTTCACCATATCTTTATCTGGACAGCCAATGAAGATAGAAGCTTATGCCACCGTATTGGATAGGAATCCAATCATTCTAGGTCTATCATAGTTTAAACATTTCAATCCAGCAATCAACTGGATCACTGAGAAAATGCGCGTTGGTTGGGATCAGCTTCTGCAGGCAATCAAAACCCTTGCCAGCAACATTCCAGAATACCTAGAAAAATTCCTCTCCGTATTCAACAAAAGCACAGCAGAACGGTTACCAGAACGGAAACCCTGGGATGATGCAATCGATCTGGAAGCAAACTTTAAACCCCAGCGAGGAAAAGTCTATCCGCTATCACCAGCCAAACTCAAGGAGTTGGATACCTTTATTGAGGAAAACTTATGGAAAGGCTACATTTGTCCATCAAAGTCTCCTATGGCATCTCCATTTTTCTCTGTCAATAAGAAATCTGGAGATCTCTGACCATGCCAGGAGAACATCAGCAACGCACTCAATTGGTCCTCCAACGGTTGAAAGAATCAGATCTGTTCCTCAAACCCAAGAAATGCTTCCTTGACATATCAGAAGTCGAATTTCTAGGATTCATTCTCTGACCAGGACAGATAGGGATGGCAGAAGATAAGGTATCAGCAGTACTAATTTGGCCCAAAGATTGACAGCATCAAAGCACTGCAACGGTTCCTAGGGTTCGCCAATTTCTACCGCTGATTCATTCCAGGATACTCCAAAGTGGCATGACCCTTGTTTGATCTATTGGTTAAAGGAATCAAGTGGAGTTGGACTGATGATCACAACAGAGCCATCAATCAACTCAAGGAATGCTTCAAGACTTGACCACTTTTGGTACAACCTGATGTCACCAAACCATTCAGAATAGAATCCGATGCCTCTCTAAAGGCATCTGGCAGCATCCTTTCTCAAAAACAATCTGATGGAAGATGGCATCCATGCGCTTTCCTATCCCAATCATTCTCTCCCATAGAACAATGATACGAAATCTATGATTGAGAACTCTTGACAATCATCAGATGTTTCAAAGCCTGGCGACACTACATTAAAGGATGCACCAAACCAGTGGGAGTATTGACAGACCATATGAATCTCACGTATTTCAAAGATCCCCAGAAATTAAATCCTCGACAAGCAAGATGGGCACTGTACCTGTCCATGTTCAATTACCGCCTTCGCCACATTCTGGGAACTTGCTTAGGAAAAGTGGATGCCCTATCACATATTGATCAAGATGCGTCTGAAGGAGGGGGTGAACTTCCTATGGAAGAAGTCCTTCTTCCATCAGAAGTCTTCATTCAAGCCTTTCAGAACCTCGAACCCATCAACATAGACATCAAACAACGCATCTTGACCTGCAAAACAAAGGACAGCATTGCTGATCACGGTCTTTGGCTGGCATTACAACACACTTCCTCCACAGACAACCGTACTCCTCCTAACTGGGACATTCAAGATGACTTGCTGATATTCAGAGGACAAGTCTATATACGCAAAGACACTAAACTTCGACAGGATCTCATCCAGGAAGCCCACGATTCCCCTACCACAGGACACCCTGGGAGATACAAGACTCAGGAGATCCTTCAAAGAACCTATTGGTGGTTCACTCTTGTGTGCGATGATATGTTTACAGAGCTCCTAACCCTAAAATAACCTAAAAAGGGGTGCGTAGGACTAGGACT